GCCATTTGTCATGAGAATTGGTCTCTTGCTGCACCATTACTCTGTGGACATGATTTATTACCTTTCATGTGTCTAGAAAAAATGCTGTTCATGAGAAATTACTCACTGGTGTAGGGCTTAATTTTTCAAAAGTTTACGTACCCTAAAAAAATTTAGTTACCCTTTCATTTGCTGGGGGAGAAACTAAGAAGTTAATGTTAATGAGCTGCAGCAACTAGGTGTAGATTAAGTAGATTTTCATTGTAACTTGAAAAAGTTGATAACTGGTTTCTAAATATGTAAAGGATATTTATTGGTATTTTTCTGCCTGATTAGTGTTAGCAGATGAAGCCAGATTGTTTTGAGCTTATCTGCTGTTTGTTTTTTTTCTTTTTGTAACCTCCTCATGTTTTACCACATTGAGTTCTTCATCTCCTTAGAATTCTGTTGCATTGCAATCATTGCAAGCTTCTCCCAAGGCCCCCAGGTTCTCTATAATTTGACTTTGTTTTGGCCTTTTAAAAGGTTATTTTTTTCATTTACCTACATATTTTCAGCCATCTCCAGTTTTACGATGCTGTTGGAAGCAGTGCAATAATCTAATGAGATGATCTGTTTGAGCAGCTGGTTTTAACCTCTGTGACATTTCTTGTTTGGGATATAAGCCTCTGCTGTCACTTTAGTACATGCTGTAGATTTTTATCTTTTTTTTTTACTTTTTTTTTTCTATTCACCCCATATTTGTGGTTTTTTCCTTCCTTTGGGTCAGAGCTAGCTAGGAGGGATCATAACTGAACTGCCATATCATACATTCTTGGTGTCGAATGTGAATTCTTGTCTTGTTTTCTGACATCTTTATTTCATAAGTGGGAGAGTGCGTGGGTTGAAGCCAAAGAGGAATAAACTCTCATTTCCCCTTGAGAATAGAAGTGTCTTTGGCATCATCAGTTCAAGGTCACTTGCAGTTCTGGTTCTCCAGCGTTTGTGTTCCTTTTCTTTGGCACTCCTGAGATACTTGATAGCTTGGAGATATTTTAAAGGTATCCTAGAAGTTCATTTCAGTTCAGCTCTTAATGGAATGGAAGCAGTTGCCTACACACTCCAGATCACAGTGCTCATTTTTTATTACCTGGAATAAACAAGCATAAATCCACAGGAGACCAATTATCATCAGAAACTTTACTCAAGTTACATCTAGACTATGATGGAGTCTTGTGGATCACCAGTTCATTTTGCCAATTGCAACACGGAGTGACTGAGCATACCTCTGCAATCTACAGAGATTCACTCATGTTTGTTGCTCACACAATGCTTCCAAGATGATCAAGGCAATGGAGCATCTCTCTTATGAGGAGAGGCTGAGGGACCTAGATCTGTTTAGCCTGGAGAAGAGAAGACTGAGAGGGGATCTCATCAGTTTTTATAAATATCTAAAGGGCGCTTGTCAAGAGGATGGGGCCAGACTCTTTTCAGTGGTGCCCAATGACAGGACAAGGGGCAATGGGCACAAACTGCAACACAGGAAATTCCATCTAAACATGAGGAAAAACTTCTTTACTTTGAGGGCGGCAGAGCAGTGGCACGGGCTGCCCAGAGGGGTTGTGGAGTCTCCTTCTCTGGAGAGATTCAAAACCTGCCTGGATGCGATCCTGTGCAACCTGCTGTAGGTGACCCTGCTCTGGCAGAGGGGTTGGAGTAGGTGGTCTCCAGAGGTCCCTTCCAACCCCGACCATTCTCTGAGTCTCTGCGTGTTGCAGTATGTAAGTGCAAAATGTCATTATAAGCAATAGCTCCTCATAAAGAAAAAGTGAGTTTAGTAGGCTATTACATTTGTTACAATAACTGTACTTTTTTTGTGATGTTTAAGGATGGGTACACTATGATCTGCAATATGGAGTCAGGCAATTTAGGATTTTTCTCCTATTTTTTGGGGAAGTATTGGAAGACTTCAGACTGTCGATGGAGCCGAATGCTCTCTTCAGGCTACTCAAGCAAGATGCAAACACTGGGCACTAAATCAATGGTCTAAACAAAAATTGCCTTCTATTGTAATTCAAAGCAAAAGGAATAAAAGAATTTTTTTTTTGCCAGAATTTGAGCATATTATCGTCCTGAAGACAAAACAATCAGTTAGATCCGTTAGAGCCATTTTTTCTTTGTGTGTGTTTCCCAGCAGTTTAAAAGGGGAGAGAGGGGAGAAGGAAATGAAGAGAAAAGCTGACCTTGATAACTTTGTGACAGATGTTTAAAACTTCTCACTATGGGCCAAATGATGCTTCCTTCTTTATCCTTCATTCCACCCCTAACTTTGCAGTTGCTGATGAATGCACAGTATGACATAAGTAGTGCTATGAGTCGAGCAGGTGTACCTGAGCAGGAGGCAGCTTTGGCTGTGTCTTCCTTGTGCGTACCTCAGACAACACTAGCAAGGAATATTGGCTGCATGTAGCAAGAATTCTCCGTAGTACGTTGTCTTACACATCTCACAGTGCACTGTGTGAGTAGGTATTAGGTGGTGAAATCTGTTCCGTATAGGCGGAATACACGGTGCATGCGGCTGAATCAGGAGGAGGAAGAGATGATTTGTGCCCCTTGAGCTGCAATCAGGCATGTCTGCTTGTGTGAAGTAATATAGATTCAGAGATTTCCATTCTGGTTTTTCTGAAATCTCCTTTTTTTGTTTTACACAGCATTTACCATTAGAGTCCATTGTATGTGAGGAGGATTAAATATTTGGAGTTATAGGAATAACACCACTAGTGAATAACAATGGGGCAGCATTAATGCTTTTGGCTCTCAATTGTTAAATAATTAAGAAAGTTCAAGATTTCAAGACTTGCATTTGCCCACAAACAAACACAGAGGTTGTGCGCTTTTATTGTCCTTGCATTGTTTCATGACCATGCATGCTGCGCCTGTAATAGCACACTGCTGGTGGCAACGTAAGTTGTAAGTATGCAACTGTGGCTGAGTTTCTGGGGCTAGGTTTCCTTATTGAAATATTTGCAGCAAGTTGTCCGACTTTAAGTATAACAATCAAATGACTCTACCTTTTTCTTGTTGTCCCTGAGAGGACAACATTTAGCTGATACTCTTGATTTAGTAAAAACGTTGTCTGTTCTGATTTTTTTTTTTTTTATCAAGCATGTTTGTAGGCTTGAAAGAATTAATTACGTAAAGGCATTTGGTTGAAAACTCTGATTCTTTAAATGTAGTAGTAGCGTTGTGAAGGTTTTGTTGCCAATGTCCTATACTTTCAAGGTAGAGCTGTATATTTTACTGCATTGTATGCTTGATTACCAAAATAAGATTATATGGGGTATCATAAAACTTATGCCATACTATCCCACACCGCTGTGAAAATACCAGTGACTTTAATTTTTTTTTTTTTGATCAGGAGAAGTGACATTGCATGAAATGCCAACTCCCATCAGCTTTCACAGGCCAGGTTTTCTTCTAGAGTCATTGCTTGGTATTCAAACCCTCCCTTGAAGTTGATGAACAGTCCAAGTATTAAAGTTTTTGATATCTTTTTTAAAGTCAGTTATTGGCCTCTAAATGTCACAGAAGCACCAGGTTGGCTATAATTATTTGGTGGCCTTGGTGGACATATATATATTTTTTTTAAAAATTGTAAAGGTAAAAAACCCTTGTCTTACAGAAGTGGAAAGGGCTTGAGTTCTTGTCAAGAGAGTAATTTTAATACCACTACTACTCTGCATTGTGTAGAGGAAGGATTTTAATTTCTAGAACGTCCTATCTCATAAAGCAAATTCACTTTAAGAATTCCACTTTCTTCCCATATGCCCCTTCATAAAAAAAATAAGGAAGGGACCAGAGGCAAAGGGATGCTCAGCATCCCAAAGCCCATGGCTTTGATGGGGTTCCATTGTTCTGTCACATCAAGACTCTTGTGGGAGAAGGATTTCCCCACTGCTTTCTCTTCCTGCTCTACATATGTACAGCAGAGAACAGGGACCTGGGAGAACTAGACACAGTCGTTTGACACACTGTCGTGTCTGGCACGGGACAAACTGCTTTATCTCTTCATGCTGCAGTTCGTCCTTTGTGGGAGAGGACTGACTCTCATTCTGTGTTGTATTGTAAGGACACTTTTTCATTAATGTTTCCAAAGCCTTCAGAACTGTGTCAGTGGGGGCTGTGCAAGTATAAAGTGGCTACCGTTCTGTTCTCTAGTGACTGACTGTAATTTTTGTAGTAGACATGCTGTGATTCAGAAGTGAAAGGAAGTCAGCAACAAATCCTTTAAATAAGATTTACGATTTAATAATTTTGCTGCAAATAGTTGGACTGATTCTGCTGTACCTTCATGAAGAAGTTTTTTTTTTTTTTTCTTTCTGGGCTCACTTTCATAGCCTGGGAGAAAGATTTAATTTTAGAAGTTTCAGTTGACAAAGACATGCTGGTGCTAGATACGTATTTCAGATCCTTGTCATTGTGCTCTATTTTTAAATTCAAGTGCCAGCCAACCTAAAGAGTACACCCTGTGTCTATGCTGGGTGCTCTGCATCCGTGCTACAAAGCTGAATTCTTCCAAGCCTTAGCACAAGGCCACCCAATTTACTTTTATATTTTTCCTATTTAATGCAGAGAAATGCTCTAGCAAGTTCTTTTCATTATCACAGAACTAAGACTGGTCATAACAACAAACCTTCTCCCTCCAGAGGTCTGCTGAGGCATTGGCAATTGTTAAGATGCTTGCCTATCAACAGCCACTCGAGAAAGAATTTTAAATGGTTTTGTGACGTCAAGGAGGCCCAAGAAAATATAGTCTGGTGCCAAATTACCTCCATCATTGAAAGCACGCAGTAAGAAATAGATAACACAGAAATAAATCTTTTGTGCAGTAGCTATCTCATGATACGCTCCAGCGACTCCAGTAAGTGAGGTTGTCTGGAATAGGAATAGCAAAAGAAAATGAACTTCCAGACCCTCATTTTCTAATTTATGATTAATGAAAAGCCAGCCTAATCTATCTGTCATCCTGCTGTCTGGACAGAATGTCTGCGGGTAACTTGGACCTTGCAGAGGGAAATGCCCTGACCAAATTACAGCCTACAAAAGTGAACAATTTAAGTATGATGGACAAAAAACTGTATCTCTTGAATGAAAAGATGGACAAACTGCTGCATTTCCAAGAAGATCTGACAGGCAAACTGCAGCGAGTTAACAAAGGCATTGATGATGTAGAAAAAGGCATTAACAAGCTAACAGTATCCCGAGCAGCTCCTGATGAGACAGACGCAATGAAAAAAGGCCTAAAGGTATCGGACAGTACTCACCAGACTGACATCCAGAGCATATGCTCAGAAGTGTTGAAATTGATGAAAGCTGCCCAGCTAGACGCCTCGAAGCATAAGGAGAGGCTGGCAAAGATAGAGAAAAGGGTTGATACACTGGATAAAGTTATTACATTTGTGGGAGAAGTATTAAAAAATTCTAAAGTAGTGGATTTTATTCTCAAAGGCATTGTGCCCTGGAAGAAGGGGAGTCTGCTGGAAATCCTTGTTGAGGTTGGTTTTGCTTTACTATTCTTCATATTTTTCCTTATTATGGAGCAGGGCTTTAGGCTCTCCTGCTGATTTCTTGTATAAGGAGTAATTCAGGTTTTTCCTTCAGTATTGCTGTTAGAGGTTACTGCTGTGACCTTTGAATTGCAAGCCTCTTAAGGCAGAGACCAAGGCTCAAAACCTGCCTTGCAGTCTTACGTCCCAGGCTCCCAAAATGCGCCAGGCGGTCCTGTAACGAGTACGAAGAGTAGACTACTACTGTAAAGGAAAATTCAGCTTTGACCAGTCCTCGAAGATCAGCAATGTCATTCAAATTAGTGACTGAATTGACGCCCCAGTGAAAACTATGAGTAACATACTGGAAGTATTTTTTGTTGGAAGAAGCTTCCGTTTTCTTGATTGGTCATTGATTCTGAACACAATGCCAGTTGCTAAAACCTGTGCTGACTTACGGTCATATTACCAAGCAGATTGATAGTCCTTAGATATCTAAGTTGTCTTTAGCTACATTTTTATGATGAACCTGTGACTTTATCAACTCTGTTGACATTGTTCATTCCTCAAATCAAATAGTTCTTGCGTTTGCAAGTTCCTAGACGTCAATTCCTATGCATTTCTTAATTATTGAGGACAGTGAGTAAGGAACAGGTGTTTTGGAATCGATTAACCTTAGTTTTAGAAGTTATAAGCATCTGCAATTAGTTTTAGCTAATGGGAGTTTTCAGTTTTCACTATGGCTTGTATCCCACAGTGGGGAAGAAGCAGGGGGGAAAATGCAAGAGTTGGAATAAGTCTGTTCATTCCAAGAATCTCCAGGTATGTGGAGGTGTGATTACAGTAAGAAGAACTTAGCTCAAATTCAAATGTCTATTTGTATCTTCAAGTATTTTTCACCAAAACTGTAAAACGTTTTGGTGGAAGGTACACCTAAACTTTTACAAGAACTGGGCAATGCTAGATGCTAGCATACCTTTTCAGGTTTTCCAAATGCTATCCTGGTCTCCCTTTTTGAGTACCGGAGGCTGACAAGTGAGATAGACTATTAGGAGGCCGAAGAATGTATAAAGTGTTGAGAATAATAAATCATACATTGGGTGTCAGTCTTAATTCTGGATAGAGGTGAAGCTTGTACTTGCTTGCAGTTCCAGTCGTGGTTCTACAGACTTTTGGAGAAATGGAAGAGTTTGATGTGTTTTGGTGAAAGCTGTGTTGTTACTGCCCGCAGTTGTTGCAAAATGCCTGGAGGCAGATACAGTCCTTCGCAGGCTTTACACCTCGAACCGCACTGACAGTGCGCAGTCTGTCAATGGCCAGGTGAAGATGACTATAAAGATGATAAGCTGATTTTGTTTACAGATTGTCGGTGTCTAAGGAAAAGAGCAGTAAGGAGGGATGTAAATGAAGGGAGGTGATGTGAGGGATACTGGAGGAATGTTTCACATGGACTTCTAGCATACTGTCAGGATTAGTTGTCAACTAGCCACTATGCACCGCCGTCTCATCGGTCTTTGCAAAAGAGGAGATTGAAGGAGGTCAGAACTTCATCCAAATTTCATGGATAGGCAGATAGGGACTGCGAGGTGAGGTGACCTGCTGGACTAGGATGGGGCAGAGGTCTCTGTGCCCGGCTCTAACCACTGCCTCAGATGTAGAACAGGCAATGTCTATTGAGCAAGCAGAGTTATATGGCTAACTCCAGTTTTGCAATATGACCATCGTTGTTCTCCTTTTTTGTTTCTGGTCATGAACGGTTTTTGAAATTGGAGCGTAAGATCAGTTATAAGACCTTAAGATATGTCTATACTTTGATCACAGGCCGCTGAGTGATATTTGAACTAGGCTTGAATTAGTGAGGTAGTGTATGTACGTGACCTAGCTGGGGTAACGTGGAGCAAAGCATGGGTGAATTTAAAAACAAATTACCTTGTGCTGAGCCATGTGCTAACTTTGGTCTAGTTTTTGCAGCCAGTTTTGTGATAGCGGTATAGACATGTCCAAAGAGCTCTACAGCTGTACGGGGGTTGCTCACAACAAGAATTCTCTACCTGCTTGTTTCTGTTTTCCAACCTTTGCTGTTTTGTAACAGCGTGCTGCTTATCACCGAGCTGGCTTAGTGCAAGGTTACTCAGTATGGGGATGGGAGCGGGGAGGTCGTGTTTTCATTTCTGGGGGAAGCTGTTTGATGGTACGACAGCATTCCAGGGATGCCACGGGAATACTGAGGGAAGGAGTTTTGCAGGGTTGGAGTCAAATTAATAAAAGACTGTGAATTGAGCTTCATAGGATCCAAACCTCTAACTTCTTATTTAGAAACCGAACAGACAGAAAAACCCACCAGCGTTAAACTGTCACTTATCCAAGGCTTTCTTTGCACGTAGGATTTTGCAAGAATAATGTTCCCCCTGGTCATTGTTGCAGGTTTGCTTAGAGCTGTAATAAAAATGGTAATGACTTTTAACTACTTTTACTCTTTGGGTGTTTTGGTTTTTGGGAAGGGGACATGGGGGGGGCTTTGTTATGGACTCTGTATGGTTGGAGCATGAAATGCCTAACTGCTTTTACTAACAGATGAAGCGCCTGATTTGCAGTAATCTTGTCATCAGCGTTATCTGCAGAACTGTCTTAAATGTTGATTATTTGCTTTTACAAATAGGGATAGGAGGCTGCTCATCACTGGATTTTAACTATGTGTCAACCAAGGAATATGTTATGCCTTCTCCTATTTTTGTGTAGTGCTTTTTGCTAAATATTAGCTATTTAGTTTTAATTTTATTTCAAATGTATTGCTGTGTGAAGTGTTTAGTGGTGCTATTGCAAAACATCCCTCCTCTGTCCTTTCTTAATTGGAGGAAGAAATTTGCTTAAAAAGAAAAATCTGCTTCTAAAAGACAGTAAGTCTGTTTTTAACCATGCCACAGGTGACACATGTAATCTCAAGTACATACACAAGTGTTACCGTAAAGCTAAAGGCTTTTTTAATACCATTTCTATCATAGCTTAAATCATGAATCTTTAGATGCCTTGAGACAAATATATTCGCAATATCTTCAGAGACATTGCTTATCTTTCAGTCACCAGCCAAAAAGCAACAGAAATACAGCAGCATTTCTTTTTCTAATCTTTCTCTTACATTTCACATGTCATGTTTTTTAAACAATATGAGTAAAGATGACAGGAGGCAAAATCTCTGGCAGTCAAAATTTTGGAAAGTACTGTATTATTCTGTGCCATCTTCTTTTAGAAGTGTGCCTGTCTGCAAAAGTGGGGTGAGATTGGAAGAATGGACTAAATACAGCAGTAACTAAACATTCAGAAGATCAGAGGTGCTAGTGTCCATTTACAGAATCTGAATACCTACATAGTTGGAGGAACCTAGTGGGAAATAAAAACTCTTGGCCATAACTGTTATTTTTGTGTTCCCCTGTCCTTTTTAGGCCAAAGATAAGCCTGAGGAGAGTGGTGCAAAACCTAAGCATGTGCTTAGTAACAGAGGAACCCAAACTGAAAGCAAGAAGCCTCTGGAAGGTACGTATCACTCCAGGCATGCTACAAGCTTTAACTCCAGCATGTGCAGCAGACAAACTGGAAATTAATAACCTGCTATTTCCCACTGCCCAAATTACTCAAATGTAACTGAGGAGCTTTGTTCACCAGTACTGGGGAAATAGAGTTGTTCTCACCTCCTCCACAAGATGATCTGTCCCCCAGGTTAAACCCCACAAAACGTTAGAAAATCAAGAAACTAAAAGCAGCGCCTTTGTTTGGCTGCACGGGTTTTTTGCTTTGGTATTACAGTGAGCTGAATTAAGAGAGTAGTACTTGTTTGGAGATACCACGAAGGTGGAGGCAATTCACATAGCAAACCTAATAAATTCTTTTCCCTTAATGTATCTGAACCAGCCCTCGCTCCTCCCCCTCTCTGAAAAAGGGACACGTTGACATGGGGAGTATCTTTTTTTGATCAACAAGTTTCATTGCCATGTCAGGGGTAGATTCCTATTTAGGATGCAGCTGTCAGGGCATTGCCCTGTTGCATCCATTATTAATGCCTGCGGAGTTGCAACAGGGGTGAATGTGATGTTGAGCAGGCCCTCTTGTGCTGTTGTCTTCACAAATTGTCAGTGAATCGCCTATGGGAGATCCCCTTTTTAGCTTCATCATTTAGGAAGTTACAAAAATAAAGCAGATGATCACAATTCTGACTCAGAAGCTACACAGGGTTATGAACTAACCTTAACTGCCAGTTACCTGTGCGTGCTGAATCCTGAAAGTAGTTACCCTAGAAATTTCCACTGTTAGTATTCACAACAATTGGCATGAGAAGGTGCTGAAGAACCTTCTAGTCTTTTGGTGGAAAATGCAAAAGGCACTGTCTCAGTACCCAATGTCCCTTGGAGTCTTGCCCTTCTAATCAGGTAGAGGGTGTATCAGGTTCAGGAGGGTCCTGGATAGGTCTGCAGTGCCTGAACTACCTGTTACGTTTGCACAGAGAGTGATTTCAGATTTTAGATGCGGTGAGCTTGCGCCTTGCAGTTTGTTTGCTTTGTGGAAATCCAAGTTCAATCTGTAGCGCCGCTGGAAAGCCAGCAGAGCAGTTAAACCTCTGATTAAGCCACGAGCGTTAATAATGGCTGTCTCAAGGCTGCTGGTGTAGGGATGTTAAACCTTTTGCGGGGTTTCTTGATACCTTTTCAGATGTGTGTAACTGTGTAGGTTATTTTGAATGGTGGGTTACTTTATTCCCTCTCTGTTTTGCTGTCACTTCTGTGAAAGAAAGTTTATTAATGGTTTATTTTATTCAGAGACAAAAAGTGGGAAAAAGCTGGATGAAAACAAGGGAGCATGTGAGAAGGCAAATGCTTCTAGTGCTGTAGCCCACAAAGCTGACTCCAAACCCCAAGTTAAAGAGAGGACAGTGCAGCAGCAAGCAGTAGAAGGTGCTGGCAAAACATACAGCTCTAAGAGCTGTCAACAGCAAAAGGACGCCGGTGTCAAAGCTTTGAATCAACACAACGGTCTTCCCTCTGTAAATCAAGATCATGTAGGCAACCAAAATGTTCCTGCTAAAGCACACGATATGGACAGAGCCCCACGCCTGGAAGAGTGCCACAGGCAGCTTGTTCATCAGAAACTCGGAGAGAATGAAAACAAACCTCCATCATCGAGTGCGGCATCCCGGGAAGCTGTGCCCTCCACATCCCGGGCTATATCTGACACAGGGTGTGAAGTGACACGTACCAGGTAATGGCCTTGTTGGTAGCTTTCTGTGCGATCTGAAACCATTTCATGTGTTAAAAGGAAAAGAAGGAAAACCAGGACGTTAAAGGAGGTAGATCCTGCTGAGGATCTGGACAAAACCAGCCATGCTAGGACAGGAGTGGTGAGACCTTACAAATGGTTAAGGCAAAAATCTCAAAGCAGTAATGGCCCTGTGTAAATTTCTATGAAGCCAAGGAGGCAGAGGGCTAGATGGACGGGAGACTTTTTTATATGGCTGGGGCTTCTGTGTATTAGAGGTGGAAGGGTGACTGCCCTAGTATAGCTCAAGTAGTTGGACATTTATAAACCACTCATTTCCAACTCCTCTGTTTCTGTAACTGTGGGGATGAAAGGAGTCTGAGAAATTTACTAGTACATGACAAACCCAAACAACTTGTTTTGGTTTATGTCTTTGGTGGTTTTTGTGGGTTTTTTTTATGCTTTGGTCACCTAAAGATATGACCAGATTGTTCATTTGTTAACCTCTGTTAGCCTGATCTTTTCCTTATATAAGTGTTTTGTAATATGTCTTTAATTGGCTTTTGAATTATTATTTAGAATTTTATTTAAATTCCTCAACAAACAACAAAAACCCACAATCAAAAATCGACAATCAACGAAACCCCAACAGATGGAAATTCTGTGGCAAATTTTAACTGCCATGCCTTCTCTGCCTGGGCTGGGGGATATAAAGGTGTTTATATATGTCTATGCGTGTATGTATGGCTGATAGACACACTCACGCATACACACACATATATATATGTGCATTACTTTGTGTGTGGAATTTTCCCATTGTTTGTGTATACAAATTGATGTCAGAAGCCCAGACAAGAACATGACACCACTTTTGTGTATGTGTATTTTCATTTGAAAAGTTTGAATTTGTAGCAGTACTTGTGAATATAGGGTGGACACTTACATCTTCCTCTGCAATGGGTAAGTGTCTCCTGGGATTCCAGAACCCTTTTTAAAAAAAAAAAAAAAGTGAATGAAGACTAAATTACCAAAATGAATGAAAGTTGTCCTGATGTCAGCACGTAGGCTTCATGAGGGAAAGGGCTCACTGTGAAGACTGGCACACGGGCATATTTTTCTTCTAAGAGGCTGAGTGTGAGGATGTGGCAGGAGAAAGTAGAAGCTTTCACTACTGTGGCCTCTTTTCAAACATTCAGGAACAACTTTTTGTACAGCTTACAGACCTTATTACATCCAAAATGGTCGCTGTAGCAACACTAAAACCAGAGGGACCTCCCTGTATTTTCGCCATGGGTTTTAGGCTCTGGTTGGTGAGCTGTAGGCACTGTGCTTCAACAGCCGGAGCAGGAGCATCCCAGCAGCCTGCCGGAGCACTGCCTCGGAGGCTCTGTCTGTGCTGTCCTTTGAGGATGGCTCAAGGTGTTTGTGAAGTGATGGAGGAACAGTTGCCATTACCCCCTGGAAGTCAGTGCTGGTTGATCGTGATGTGCCAGGCGGTGAACTTGGAGATAAGCAGCAGCTTCTGAAGCAGCCGGTTGGTTTGGACAGGGGTTGTCTGAGCCCCAAAGGCTTTGGTTTGGGTAGGAGGGAGGCCGACGGATAACTGGAAGGCAGAACCTAGAGTAAACCCTGGGGGAAGCTGTAGCCTTCCTGCATAGGGTACCTATTATGCTTTTGTGTGTGAAGTCACATGAGGGTGGTAAATGCTTCTCTAAAATGAATGCAACTTAATGAAGTCTGTAAGCCCACGCAGAAGTGTCAAAAGAACATTGTGTTCCTCTGCTTGGAGGAATGCCCAAGAGTCCTGCTGAGTTCAGGCTTGTCTAGATAGCAGTGGAAGTGTTTGCTCAGAGCTGTGTTCAGCTGCTCTCATAGCTCACTCTGGTGCAGCTTAGTTTCAGGGCACAACACAAGGGTGTTAAAGGTGCTGAAAATGAGAAACTTCAGACTCTTGTTATGCAAAAGCAGAAACATTTTCTTTTGTAATAAGGTCGATCCACTGAAAGAGGTGATAACTTTTGTGAAAATGATGTACCTTCTCTCCTAGACATCAGACATTTTCTTTACTTGCTGTTGTGTAAAATCTACTCTACAACTTCCCAAGTTTCAATTCAGTCTCACTGAAACCAGACTGTGTGCTCATGACTGTTGGAGCAGTAACAGTTGACTCAAAAATTACCACAGGAATGTTTTTAAGGGATTTTAGGAACACAGAGAATTGCTTTTAACCCGTATTCTTTTTAGGCAATGCAAGAGGAAAAAAAAATTATTAAACTTTTCCAGTAGCTAGAATGCCAAGGAAAATAGTATTGATGGAGTGAGAAAGTTTATGAAAGTTACATTTTTAACAGAAAGCTGTGGAAAGAATGCTATCCCATCAGAAGATGCAAACACAGATGTTTGAGGGTGCAAGTCAGCCAGCTGGAAGAGGACCGGGATGGATGCAAACCTTTGGATTTGTAGAGTCTTAGGAGCAGTCAGCCATTTAGATAATCAGCCTGTAATTTGCGAAGGCAAGCACTACCCCCTCTCTGCCCAGATGATGGTATTTTATTAGACCAACTGTAATATTTGCAAAAAGTTAAGTCAGCTTTCAGATGTGGAATTAACACTTTACAGTGTGAGACATTTTGTGTTCAGCAGAAGGCAGGTGTATATACAGATGAGGACACAGAAAAAACGTCAGCATGCTTTTTGGTGCTCTTCCCTTAGTGTTGTGAGTATTTCCTAAGAGGATTGATATGGTTAGTTTTCTTTAATACTGTAGAAATCTGTGATTTCGGAAGCTTACAGAATTTTCTTCCCCTACAATGTTACAAAAGCAGGGCTGGTCATCTGCATAAAATGTCAACTGTTTGCTTTGCAGGATATCCATCAATGTACATATGAGTGAAATGAAAGAAAAGATTGAGATGACCAAGGAAGGAAGCTTAAATGATCACAGAGGTAAAAGCTCCAAAGTGAAATCCCCACCATCCTCCACCCCAGCAGAAGTGGAAGGAGTCGAACAGCCGCCTGACAAATTAAAACTTCAGCAGAGTCCTAAAAACATCAGCACTGAGCCAAATCGAGAAGTGAAAGAGGACAATAAGCAAAATGAACTTGCACCTCAAACAGGGAAGCAACAGCCATTAGTGAGCAAGCCCAAACCAGGTAAAAAGGCTGAAGAGAAATCAGGATTAAAATGCAAGCCCATAACCTCACAGAATACCTCTGCAAAGGAGCCTACGAAAGATCTGGGAGCAGAACCAAAAATCCATCAAGAAACAGCAAAAGCAGAAGAACCCCTGACAGATACCAATTCTGAGAGGAGCGAATCTGAGTCTGCATCTTCAGGGGGAAGTGAAAACGATGCCCATCAGTCTATGGGAATGGCACCAGAGAAGGCAAAGTCATTGGAAGCTACCAACGAGCTTCCCACACAGGATGAAACCATTATCGGTAAGTTGCTCACAGTTATTCTTGGAAGCTTTTACAGTGAGACTTTTGTGCTACCTGTGTGTGCTATATACAATATACACAATATATATATATATATAAAATATACAGTATATGCAATAATAGTTGGAGCAGTGTTCAGTAGACCACCGGTGTCTTACAGTTCAAGACCGTTTACCTAAATGCCACGGGTAGCTTTGACTATGTAAATAACAAGCTAATTAACATTTGTACAAATTCTTTTAATAGTAATTTTCTTTTTAAAGTGTGTTTTGGGAAAAAAGGTTCCTTGAAAATAAAATTAGGTGAAGTATATGTGTGATCAGATGTATGAGTAATTTTGAAAAAATCCTTTTTCTTTACATTAAGCATTTATTCCCTAAGACAGAGTATGCAAACTAGGTATGCTTTAACACCTATGGACTGGAGGTCCAGAAAGCAGCAAAAAATTGCAGGAAGAATATCTTGCTGTGGTCTTTGTGTTATTTGCCATAGATCTCTTCTTGGTTACTGTGTGAACAGTTGATTGCATTGTTTCAGGGAGTAGTCTCTCCTGGCAGCATAGACACATTTATGTCCCAGACTGTACACACATGGGAAGATGTCCTGACCTGGATCTGGCTTTCTCAGCAGTGGCTGGAGATGGGCTGAATACCTGTTAAATTGCAGCCTAAGATATCTGGAGGTGAATTGTAAAATTGCTTTGAATGAGGGACACCAAAAGTGGGTTTATGGAAGCTTTAGCCTGGAAAAACTTGGATGTTAAGTGTGACATGGTTAACTGATTTAGCTTCCCAGGAGCTGATTTAACTTCATAGTTGTAATGTTAATGTTTGCAGCTTTAACTTGGACACTGTCTGCAAAAGTCTTGCTGCTAGGAGAAACTTCCTGATCTTACCAATAACTGGCACTGTTTATCAGTGCTGAGTATTTGTGCTGGTCTTCCCAGCTGCCATTAAAGAGGCCTAAAAGAGCCTAACAGAGGATCAAGTGTAATTTTTTTTAAATTTCTAGATATTTTTTCAGGTGACCTCTGCTGTTAGTGCATAAACTAAGGTGTTGATCTTCTAAAGGTGTCCAATGAGTTTACTGTGTTAAAAAAACAGGGTTGAGATTCAGGAGGTGGGATCCTATTCTCCATTCTGGGCCTTTATTCGTCATCTGTAGGGTGGTGTTAGCAGTAAAAGCCCCTCACTTGAAGTAACAGAGAGATTTTGGATATTTTCAGCACCTCCCTTCTTATGGCTGGCTGAAATGCAATGGTTATTTTACTTGCATGCCACTCTAAAAATAGTGAAGGAATCGCATGCTTAATGTTATCCAGATAGTTCAGTGCTTGTCTGAATTCCAGGAGAAGAAAAAATGATGGTGTGGTAGAGGAACACGAAGCAAAAAGAAAAGATGGCAGAGAGGGCAGTGCACTCTATACTCAAGTTGCGGTTTGAGTGTTTGCGTGAGCAGGTTACCAGAGCAGTTGGGGGCTGGCTTGGGCCAGCGTTTGTGTTGGCCCCCGGTGTTTCTGCCATAGAGCTCCACGGCCAGAGGAACAGGAATGCTGAAGATGGGGGGAGCGCAAGAGTATGGTTTTGTGGAGCTGTGGATACCGGGAGCACAGAAGGCGGGTGAGACTTCTCATTACACTTAGCAAACACAACAAGGTGACGCGCGTGTCCTGTGGACTGAAATCGTTGGGGTGAAGGAGGTGAAACTGAGTGCAGTGATGTGTGCAGAAGCATCTCAATGACCAGCTTCTCTCCTATTTAGATGACAGCCCTTCTCCTCCAGCTCCTTTCGAACATCGCATAGTGAGCGTCAAGCAAACAGAGGTGACAACGTGCTACTCAGTGTGTCGTCACGAAGTTCTGGGGGGGTAAGTATCCCTGTCCCTAATGCTGTACTGCTGGTGGTGGCTAAGGCATGGAGAAATGCGGTTAGCTGGAGAGCTACAGCCATCTTCTTCAGACGGCCTCAGGGTGTGCGTGGGTGAGGGACGTACAAGCCCACTGCAGCCAGAGTGAGCAGGTTCCTCCTTGAGACCTTTTGGGCTGTCATAGTTGCTGGGCCCTTTGTATCACCCTTCTCTTGAGTTTGTAGTGTGTTGCAGAGATGTTCCCTAGATGACTGGTTTCTGCCCCAGTTCCATTTTCAGATGCTGGACTGTGATCTTGAATGACTGTTTTTTGCATTTCTTACAATAATCCTGGCCACAGCTGGTGTCATGAGAAAAACCTGTAACCTTCCGGCAGACAGATCCAGAGCATTTGAAGTCAGCAAAGCCCGTTAGGTCAGGCAGCTTCCAAAATCTTTTTTCCGTGCTGAACTGCACGTTAAAGAAAACGAAGGGAGAAGTTATAATTATTTTGACCTTACATTTAGTTTTCACTGATAGGAAGTCTGCAGCTGCTTCGCCCTTTGTATTCTTGTATCCTTAGTTATCTGACAAGAAGGTTTGATTTACAGGTTGATCCAAGTACAAATATGGCTTAATAAGTATAAGCCCTATGATGCAATAGCAGAGAAGATGGTGTTTAGAAATCATCCCGAGGGGCATTAACGTATCTGGGTGACACGGGGGAGAATTTACAACACGCAAGAAATGCATTCTGTGGAGTGGCTACAGTTACTGGTCTTATAGTCATTTAAAAAGTTATGAGATCAGGACAGAAATATCCTTGTTAATATACCCACTAACGCATCACTGAAGGACAGCAATCGGGTACAGTTACAGAACCGAAAAAGAATATCATCAGGTCATCATACCGCAGTGAAATGTAGTAATACGACGGGGGCATAATATTTTAATGTAAGCATTGAACAACTGGCTGGAAAGATAAAACTAATCCTTCATAAGCTGAGAGAAAGAGGAGATTCACGCTGCTGGGCACCTGATTCTGTTCACTTTGTACTGTGCTATTTTTAATTGACGATAAGAATAGTTGCATGAAAAGTTTCTGCGGTGAGCTGTGTTAAGCTGGTTTCCCATCTTTTGTTTGGTATCAACAGGGGGCGTTTTGGGCAAGTTCACAAGTGCACGGAAATATCAACTGGTCTCAACCTGGCAGCCAAAATCATAAAAGTGAAAGGAGCGAAAGAGAGGGTAACTATGTTGCTGTGAGCCCGAGTGACCATGCTCTAAACCTGGCCTCATTGCAAGCACCTTAACACCACTGCCCTGAATCAGCCCATGAAATACTGTAAAATCTGTCGTAGCCCGTAGCAGCTTGGACTTCATATGACTGTTTGTCATCTCCCGTCTTTGTGATTAAACCTGTCCGCACGAGACCTGTGGCATAGCTCTTACTGGGTTTTACAAATAATTGTATTCAAATATATTGGAATTTAAGGAACATATTTTGCTCATGTTTTGTTGATTTTGTTTGTTTTTTCAGGAGGAAGTAAAAAATGAAATTAACATCATGAACCAGTTAAATCATGTGAATCTCATCCAGCTTTATGACGCTTTCGAAGCAAAAAATAATATCACTTTGATCATGGAATAGTAAGTTTAAATGATCTCAGAAATTGCCAGATGTTTGGGTTTTCTCAGGTCACTAAATGAAATAGGGAATAATTCTAAGGTGTGAAGACGACTTGAGCGGTTTCCCAGCCTGAGAGAGAGTTGATTAATACATACTTTGGTATTCCCTGTGGGTTCTCCAGCTCCATGTTGGATTGCCAGGTTGTGTGAGTTTGGGTTTGACATATATCCCCCCCAAATGTTAGCGACAACTTTTCCAGTTTTGAATTTAGATTGATACTTAATTTCACACTCAGAAATAAGTCTCTTGAAGCCATTGAGACTACTGATACGATACGCTTTATCTTGGATGTGTTGTGAGGATCCTTGCTAACTTAGAGAGCCTAAGTTCCCAACTTGGAAATAAATTGAGTTAATGAGGAATTTGAGGGTTTTTAATGCTTTTCTATGTCAAAATTTTAGTCTTGATGGTGGTGAATTATTTGACCGGATCACAGATGAAAACTACAATCTAACTGAGTTGGATGCGATCCTATTTACCAAACAGATTTGTGAAGGAGTCCACTACTTGCACCAGCATTATATTCTCCATTTAGATCTGAAGGTCAGTAGTTCATACTCTCCGCTCTTTAGCGACGCCATGCTTTGGACCACCGCAGAGTCTCTCATTACAAGAGTCATTTCTCATTTCGTGGATTTATCTCATAAAGAAATAGACTGACTTAATTCAATAGCCACAATGAATGGAGCTCTAGAGTTTCATTACTTTTCTTCCATGTCTGTTTGGTAGCTTGCTTAGAAAAGTGAAATGAACTGTGCTTTTGGCTCTCTCTTAAATCAGAAGCTCTTCATTCTGTGTGGAATTAAACAATGCCCTTTGTCATTAATAAAAAACCACACCCAGACCCCTGTTTGGCTAGAAATGCCTGCAGCCTTCCCTCCACACTCCCTACCTCCCCTGTAACTGTATTCAAATACCTATTCAGTCTTCTCCCTATTGTTTGTACTTTTTTTTTTTTCTGCCTGGAACTGAACTGCAGTAAAATGACAATGTTCTCCTAATGGCCCCTTAATAACAGATCTTTTTCAACAGAAAAAACAACTGATTCTTTTTTTTTGGTTCTGCTTGTGTGTACAGTGCCTGACACAAATGATATCAGACTTGGTTGGCCTGTAGACAGTTCTGCAGTTAAAATAAATTTGGGCACCATCATCCCCCCCGTCCCCACCTTGAAAAATATTCTCATTGAAAAAAAAACCAACACATTTTTGCCTTTGTTGGCAAACCAAAGGATGCATTTGACGTGTTCCTTGTGGCTATTATAACTTTTATGGAGTTCCTTTTATACTTAAGGAGTAAATGCAGTGGGTAAGCCTCAACTATGAGACTGACTGCATCATTTTACACAGGGGACCTTTCCATTTCAAAATCGATTTGTCATCTATGGTGAAATATAGGAATATTGTTATATAGGAACAGAAGTTAAACTTTTTTATACTGTTTTGCTACATCTGTCTCTCAAACGGTCATACATTTAACTCAAAATACCCTCTTCTCTCTTTGTAGCCTGAAAACATACTATGTGTAAATCACACAGGAAACCAGATTAAAATTATTGACTTTGGATTAGCAAGGAGGTAAGGGTTCAGTTATGAATTTATTTTAAAAAGCAAAACCAAGACAACCCCAAAACCTGCTGACATATTTTTGGTAGGTCTTGGGGTTGTTTTTTTTAATGTGTTTTTATGGCTAAGTATTTTTGATGGCTAAGTAATTCTGCTGTGTGAATGAGCTAAGCAGTATGCTGCTGCAAGCATGCGTTTTCTGCTGTATGCATTAATTATCTAATTACATTTTGCAAATAACATTTCTGTTGGATAACGCTATACTGCTGTTCTAATTATCTCAAAATTATTCCCCATGTAGAGCTTTTACTCTAGGGATTCTATGAAGGCTCTCGGAGACTTCTTGACTGCTGGGTTTTATTGTGCAGGTTCAAGTTGTGGAAATTGTCTGCTAAACTCTACATAGGTAGATAAGTTGATTGAAGCTGGGGGCAGCAGGGGAGCAAAACATGCTTGAGCCATCCCATGCTAAACAGAAAACCCTCAGAGAAATATGGACTTTTCTCCATTCTTTTTCTTTGCTCGCATGAATTTGTTAAAGGAAAGCTGTGGGAGCATGAGTCAATTCCCCTAGAATAAAAGGGAGCGACTCCTGTTAGCGTAACAGTAAAACACCAACATTTCTCTATTTTCTAAACCCTTTGAGGCTTTTGTTAAGTCAAAATCTGGTGCATTGATGCATACATATACCTGCGTGTGTGTATGTAAGTATCTGTCCAAGGACTTTTTAATTTTAGAAGTATTTTATGCAAACAGAAATGGATACATTGAGGTTTGTTGTTTTTTTGGTGCGTGGGTTTTTTTTGTTTCTTTTGTTTAAATCGGGAAGGCAAAGATACAATCTTCTACTAAAGCAGTTTTGAAAACAAGATATTCCAGGAAATAGAGAAAAAGCAATGCTCTAATGGCTTGTTCTGTCTGTACGCAGATGTAACTCCAGCTGCCGTCAGTGACAATTATTACTGGTTCAGTTCCATAACCTTTGCCTTTTAAGCAATAAACCAGAATCATTTTCTCCCTATGTGCATCACTGTTTAACTTGTTACCAAGCCCAAATAATGCTCTTGAGAGTCCCATCTTAGCAGTTATATTGTGCTCATATCTGTTATACGGACCTTTGCCCTGAGCTGTAGCTGGGTACATCCCACTGAGCAAATGCTCTCCAAACCTGTTTTAATGGAGGCTGCTTTATTTGCTTGGTGTTGGACAACATCTGCTGGAAAGCATCCCGTGGAGCCTGGCAGGGTAAAGCTGCTATTGCTCTGTGGGGGAGGCCTTTGCAGGTTTTATTGCCTTTGGTCTTCCTTCTGGTTTTGCTCTGCAAGGGGGTAGCTGATGGTGTATTCACCTGAAGTCCCAGCAAAATTCGCCTTTTTTTTTTTTTCTTTTTTTTTCTCTAAAGACCTTAATGCTGTCCTGATTGCCTGGGTGAGTCTGCTGTGCTCGCTCTGCCATGCTCGCCTGGCAAAAAGCCATGCCTTGATTTTCACAAATGTGAGATGAGTCCCCCAGCCTGCTCTCAGCAGTGGTGTCTCTCTCTTTCTGGTAAAGGTACAAACCTCGAGAGAAACTGAAGGTTAATTTTGGAACTCCAGAGTTCTTGGCTCCTGAAGTGGTGAACTATGACTTTGTTTCCTTCCCAACGGACATGTGGAGTGTAGGCGTCATCACGTATATGTTGTGAGTAACCCTGCGAGGGGTGGTGGTGGTGGCCCCGAAGGCTCTGCAGGGGCACGCCATGGGAGGGTATCTGCAGAGCAGCAGTGCAGCAACCACTGAGCCCATCTGGCTGTGACTCCTCCTAATTCATTCTCTTAAAAAAACCCAAAAAAACACACCAGCCTTTAATGCAAAGGCACCTCGCTGTGTGTACAAAGTCTCCAAAAAAACCCAAATAATCTTTTTGATAAATATGTAAATGTTCTTCTCCCTTACCACCTTATTTAGCAAGGTAAAATGGGTCAGGTCTTTTTTTTACTGAGAAAAGTTGCCCAAAGCATGTCAGAAGTTTCATTTTGATTGTGTTTTTGAGGACTTGGATTAATTTTCAAATTTGCAGTCTGATCATTTTAGTAGCTTGGACTTGGTGTGCATCTGCACGAAGGCATTAATGTTGGGTGTTAGGCCATGCCTCTAAAAAATGTTATGTCAGAAATGGGGCTAAAACGTTTCTCTGATACCTGGATGGCGGCCACAGACAGCTTGTCTGTCCGAAGTCTCTGCCTTCTCATGAGCTGACTGTGCATCCCAGAATCTTTCACAGATGCTTTCTGCGAACTGGATACATTTCTGGTTTAAATTTGTATGTTAGCCAAAAGCCAACTGAATGAAGTAATAATCGACTGAAGCCATAAATCTGGGCTTAGAAACTAATTGTAAAAAGTATCCCATTGTTCAGAATTCAGTTCAAGTCAAGCCGAATATGGATACGGGCCTCGATTTAGGAAAGCTCTTGAGTCCCCCTAGCTTTCCTAGCTGGGAAAGCAATGAAGTGTGTACCTAGATCCCCACGGAGCTGATTTCCTTGGGGATCTATTAACAGTGCTCCCTGCCGTAGCTGAGTGAACTGCTAGAGAGTAAAACTAACATTACAATGCTTTATTGCTCCAAACTGTTGGCTTAGTTTGGTGCAGGGACTGAGAAGTGGAACCCCATCTTTCACACAGAATGGTTAGGGTTGGAAGGGACCTCTGGAGATCTAGTCCAACCCCCCCCACCAGAGCAGGGTCACCTACAACAGATTGCACAGGACAGCGTCCAGGCGGGTTCTGAATGTCTCCAGAGTGGGAGACTCCACAACCTCTCTGGGCAGCCTGTTCCAGTGCTCCACTACCCTCAAGGTGAAGAAGTTCCTCCTCATGTTAAGATGGAACTTCCTATGTTCAAGCTTGTGCCCATTACCCCTCGTCCTATCACTGGGCACCACTGAAAAAAGACTGCTCCCATCCCCCTGGCATCCTCCCTTTAAGTATTTGTAAGTATTAATAAGATCCCCCCTCAATCTTCTTTTCTCTAGACTAAAGAGACCCAAGTCCCTAAGCCTTTCCTCATATGAGAGATGTTCCAATCCCCTAATCATCTTTGTAGCCCGTTGCTGGACCCTCTCCAGCAGATCTCTGTCCTTCTTGAACTGGGGAGCCCAGAACTGGACGCAGTACTCCAGATGCATCCTCCCCCTCAGAGCAGAGGGGGAGGATGACCTCCCTCGACCTGCTGGCCATACTCTTCTTGATGCACCCCAGGATGCTATTTGCCTTCTTGGCCGCCAGGGCACATTGCTGGCTCATGGTCATCCTGTTGCCTACCAGGACTCCCAGGTCCCTCTCCACAGAGCTGCTCTCCAGCAGGTCAGCCCCCAACCTGTACTGGTGCATGGGGTTATTCCTCCCCAGGTGCAGTACCCTACACTTACCCTTGTTGAACTTCATAAGGTTATAGCTGAGAGTCTTTCCTCTCCATAAGCTGACAACTATAAAGCAGAGGATTCGTAGAAGGAAAAACACATCTTGCATATAATAACTACTCGTCTCCCTCCCATTCTTTCTGTTTTTAAGGCTTAGTGGCCTGTCCCCGTTCCTGGGAGAAACGGATGCAGAGACAATGAATTATGTAGTCAACTGCAGCTGGGATTTTGATGCAGAAGCATTTGAACAGCTATCAGAGGAAGCTAAAGACTTCATTTCCAGATTACTCGTGAAGGAGAAAAGGTACCTCTTTGGCTGATCGTGAGGACAGTAGCACCTAATAACACTAAGTTCCTCCTAGCCAACTGTTTGCATTGCAGCCAACAATGAGAACTTACTACGTGACTTTTTTGTATGCTGTATCTGTGGTTGCTGGGCAGCTCCTCAGTGGTTCAGAAGCCCCTATTTAAAAGGAAAAGGTCTGTGTACCTTGACTGAAGAAAGTTGCTTTTCACAGTAGCATCAACACAGGCAGAACAGAGGAAGTCTGTGAGGATTTGCTGTGTCGGAATCTGTCTTTCATATTCCTTCTCTGAGCAAAAGTCATTTCTATTGTGCCTTTGGATTCTCACAAGCCCTGACACAAATTGCAAAAATGTCTCTTGAATGCCGTGGAGGATAAATGGAAGCTGCAGCTGTGAAAATGTGCATTGTTCTCTTCTGAAGTGGTCTACATGCATTTGGTAGATATTAAGGAGCATTTGGGACTTAAATCTGCATGTGGCTTCTCAGTCTTGGCTCCGCTGAAATAAAAAGTGATTGCACATAGGAAACAAGAGGAGAGAATGAGGATGATACTGATGTCAGACCGTGGCTATGGGGTTGGGTAAGGGAGCAGAGAAATTTTTCTCATGCTGAGCAGTGGTACAAAGCTAATCAAAACAGGAAATGATAGATACAGTAAAACAGGTTGTGTGTTCGAGGGGGATTCGAAGGAGTGCTTAGAATATTAACAACTTCCAGATCATTACCTAAATCGGACAAATCAGTTCTAGTACTAATTACATTTTGAACAATAAGTCATATGAAAAACTAAGAATAAACTGAGCTTTAGCATATCGCCAGCAGGATACAACAAGGGGGCTTTTCCTCAGACTGTGATGCCGATTTGCTGTGAGACTGTAGACTTTGCTTTGGAGTCTTCCGTTCTTCTGTACAATGCGAATAGGTACTCCAGAGGGACACTATGCAAAGTCTAGTTAGAATGTGTGAGTGAAAAGACTGTGCAAGAGAAGAGTATTGTCAGTGAGATGCAAAGGGCAAGGATTAATTGGCCCAGTTGTTCACAAGGTTCACAGCCTCCGCTCTCCCATCGACCAGGCACCTTTGCCATGCTGGGACGGCAAGTCTGGCCTTGTGCAAGACCTGTACCTGCCTCCTCTGACTACTGAAATTAGGAAACAACTCCACTCACTTGTGTTTGTTCATTTAAAGCAGTTTCTTGATCAGTAAGATTGAGGAGCACAGGGCACTGAGAAAAAATGGCAATGGGGGTAGCTGGATTTACACGAAAGATTTCCTCTCCCACAGCTGCCGGATGAGTGCAACGCAGTGTCTGAAGCACGAGTGGTTAAATGATCTACCTGCCAAAGCCAAGAAGTTCAAGCTTCGTCTGAAGTCCCAGTTGTTGCTGCAGAGTTACCTGGCTCACAGAAAATGGAAGGTAAATAGATAAAGCCTGGCAAGTTTACTTCCACAGGGAAAACCAGCTCAACACAGGCAGAGCCATTCCCTCTTTTTTTGTATGATGGTTCACTTTTGCCCACAGGTTTCTTTCTTGTAAATATGAGTCTGGGAAGTCTATTTTCAGTTGTAATTTTTTTTTTTTTCTCCTGCAGAATGATATTGCTTCTATTTTTAGCAAGTTTGGTTTCAATTTTTACTCTTCCTGATTGGTGTTTAAAAGTTTTACATTTTTTTTTTCCTTTACAAGCTCGGAGACTTCAGATGCTGTTTAGCTGAATTAAATGTTCTATTCATATTGGACAGATTTTTTTCCATTGACAGCAGTTGCATTGTTCTGTGGTTGCTATGGAGTAGGGTTACAACATAAGGCAATTTTGTGCCTCCTGTTGCAGAGAGTATAAGTCTGGGAGAGAGAAAAAATTAGGCTCAAACCCATCCAGGGAGCCCTTCAGGACCTTTCTGATAACCACATGCTCCTTCAGAACTAGATTTTTGGATGAAAAAGTGACAGATAAGACTTTCTCTTGAAGCCTGTATTGGATTGTAGATAATTGATCCTGGAAGGTGAACACAGTGATCTTGTTACAAATAAGCCTGTGGAAACGTGAGGAAGACTCAATGAGGACCATTTCCTTTTCTTTTGTCACTGGAGAGTTGTAATTCCTTGCCAAGAAGTTTAACCAGAGGCTTAGCTTTTTCCACTCCTGCACTCCAGCCGTTTGGTCACAGAATTCTGCACTTGTATGTTAAAAAAATGCATAATCTAAAGATGTGTCGCTATACAATTGGTAACAAAGCTGCAGAAGTTCCCAGCAGCAGCAGCCTGGTGTGCAGCAATCGCGGGTTCCCCAATACAAAGCTGTTCTGCACTGCAGTCCACACAAGGTGTGGGTCACTAGAGGTGAATGGATTTACCAAGAAGAAAAACCCATGTCAGCCACAGAAAAAGTCCTTTACCTCAATTGCACTCACACCTGGACTCTTCTGTTTTGTTCACAGAAACACTTTTATGTGGTGGCTGCTGCTAACAGGCTGAAGAGATTTCAGAGTATGTCTGTCAAGCTTGCATAAGCTCGTATGAAGCATCTACCCCTCCTGGAGATGGACATGAAGCCATGGAAGAAGGACTTAGTATCGTCAATAATTTCTACCCCTTTGTTTTATAACGTAAGGTTTTGGGTCTGTCCTCCTCAAATATTATGCGTGTTAGTGCTAAGGTTCCAGAAGTGCCTCAAGGCAGAGGCGCTGAAATAATTTCTAAAAGCAGAAGCTACCTTGTTTGTTTTTACAAGTTTTCAGTTGCACATAGTGATGGAAAAACATGGCTGTCATCGGGGCTGACTTCTCGCTGAAGGCTTTGATTCTGCAGAGTATTGTTGGTGTGTTTCCACCAAAAACCATCTTGTCAGCTTTCTGGTTTCACACACCAAGCATGGGATCTCTAAAGACCTTCTGTGTGACTGATATATGTCATCAGTTTTAGAGCACTGCCACAGCAGTGGCACAATTTTTCCCTTGGGTGTTTGTTACTTAGAACGAAAGATTTTGGATGTCCTTTTCTTCTAGAATTATTCCAAAAAGACTAATTTTTTCCCCCAAACATGATAATGATTCAGTGCAACTACTCAGATTTGAACGGTTTTAGTTTGGGTTTTTTTTTATTCTACTCTCTCCTTTAAAAAAAATCACCGCATAGTTAGGAAATACGAGGAATCCTGGTTTGAAGCAACTTAAGTCAGTCGCTCCATTGCTGCTTTTTCCTTATGGTAAGTTGAATTGAGCTGAATTGATTGAACTTTTGGAAGGAGCCGGGTGAAACTTCCACAAACAAAAATCGCCTAACAACCATTGGGTCCATGCACAAAGGTCTCATGTTGTCCAGAAGACAGATTTCCAGACTTTTTATATGTATTTAAAATTTGTACGTGCTTCTTACAGGCTGTTACTGCAGCCCTTAATTTTGTAAGTTTTAGTTCGAGGATTTTTTATCCTCTCTGACAATTTTAATGAAGTCTGAGAAGCTGATATGGTGTGATATGCAAAATAGGTTTTATTGCTGTTCAGTGGCAGGGAAACGGTGTATTGCCAGACACTCCCTATAGCCCAGCTAGGATGTTGAAGCCTTTTTTTCCTCCACTTTGCTCTTGAACATTAAACGTTTTCTTCACAATACTAACTTATTTTGGATTTTAAACTTTTTCCTGATGTATAAAGAGTTGGAGCCACTTACAATCTCTCAGCTAAAAGTATAACATTATTTATTAAACCTGTGGTTTCCTTCATTCCTGTTCTAGATTCTGCAAAACTCTGCGTGAGTTGGATGGGCTCTTAGGAAAAACAGAAACCAATACTACTAAAACTTTCTTTCCAGCAAAGGCATCAAACCACTGTAAAGCTCCCTTTAACTTTATGGACTTTCATGTCCCTTGAATCAGCAAAAGTGTTGCTTGCTAATAAAGAGGTTTGTCAGACTGGCTTACCCTAGTCATCTTTTCCACTCTAGTGCTTCTCACTTTGTGTAGTCCTGAATTCTGGACTTCTACAGCATTTCCAGAATTGAGACAGAATTATTAAAAGCAAGTGAAATAATCTTGACAATATATCACCTTCTGTGAAGGCCCACTTTTGTTCATGTTTTCCTTCCACGGTGGTTCTGCATGCTAAATGTGATTGTATTAATTGGTCTGTATATTTCTGAATCAATACTAATAAATTCCGTTAAAGTGGAACAAGCCTATTCCTCAGTTTTGGTTTAAACCCCCCCCAACAAAAACCTGAAAGTGTCTCTGAGTAGGTGTTAACACCAGAATGCTCATGTACCAGGTTGGAGTCTCTGCCATCCTGAGGACCCTCTGCTACATCCCAGATCAGGCTTTAAATGGCAGACATTTTGTTACAGCTCTTACTCAATGTGGGTCAATTATCCCATATTTTCTCTGCACGTGAGGCATTTGTTTGGAGTCCATTCCCCAATAGTTACTGTTACATTTCAGAACTTGCAGCTGGAATGAAATTAGCTCTTGCTAATTAAAGTTGGCTTCAAGTGATTTCCTTTTTTATGCATTGAGAGGAGGAGAAGTGAAAGGAAAACGGCCAGTAAGTTTTAGTTTTCCAGTTACTGTGTGCTGCTTCCTCTATTTTTCTAAAAGGGTAACCACACAGCCGCTTGCTCGCTCCCCCCACTTGCAATGGGGAGAGTAAAAGTGAGGAAAAACTCGTGGGTTGAGATAACAACAGTTTAATAGGTAGAGCAAAGCGACGCAAGCAAAGCCAAACAAGGAATTCATTCACCGCTTCCCATGGGCAGGCAGGCGTTCAGCCATCCCCAGGAAAGCCGGGCTCCATCACGCGTAGCCGTTACTTGGGAAGATAAACACCATCACTCCAAATGTCGCATGCTTTGTTCTTCTCCCCCCAGCTTTATATACCGAGCGTGGCGTCACATGGTATGGAAGAGCCCTTTGGTCAGGTGGGGTCAGCTGTCCTGGCTGTGTCCCCTCCCAACTCCTTGCGCCCTCCCAGCCTGCTCACTGGTGTGGCGGTATGAGAAGCAGAAAAGGCCGTGAGAGCTTAGCAGCAACTAAAACCACCACTGTTTCTCATCCAAAATCCAAAACGTAGCACTATACCAGCTGCTAGCAAGAAATTTAACTCCATCCCAGACAAAACCATGACACTTGTACACATTTCCTCTCCATTTTCTACAAAGAGAAGGCGCATCTGGCCAGCAGGATGACTATTTCATTCCTAATAGAAAGAAATCCCTTTAGATTTGGCAGCCATCACGTGGTTCTGCAGTACAGTGAAATCCCCTCTGCAGCCTTATGGGAAGTTTCACCATGTCCTGTGCCTTTTGCTTTGAGGATGTACAAAAAACCTAAAGGAAAAACCACGGGTGACCTATGAGTCACTGGAACAGTAAGTACGACAACAATTAACTGCTTTAGGTACCAGTGTTATCAACTGCTGTAATCCTGGCGCGGTCAGTGTCACTGGGGTAAGCAGGGAGCACGCGCAGCAGTGAAGCACGTGGCAAGCTATTAAAATACTGTTGAGGAGAAGCTTAGATGGGGCAGTGTTTTAAATTGTAAAGGCTCCGAGATGAAATAATTTATCTTGCCTTCATATGGACATATGGGGTTTTCTGGGCTATTTTGAAACAAGGGTTTATGAAAGTTAACTCCTTTTCGCACACCCCAGGCAGAAAACAGGCAAGAGAAACGGGCAGGAGACTGGGATTGGTTTTATTATAGTTACACTAGCCCTGGACTGCTAAAAGTTGTGATTTTCCTTCCAAAAAAATGGTTAACACAAATTGTAGTTTGAGTAGCTGGGATGGAAGTGTAGGAATGCAGAAGCTGCCTCTTAGAACGACAGGGCAGGGCACTCTCTCCTCTTTACTAAGTTTATGACTACGAGATGCAAAAAACCTGTATTACCCAGACAAGATCCTTGTCCCCTGGATATCTTCCTTCTTAAAGCACAGACATCTCCTGTATGTCTTTTATTTTGCACCGTAAGGGGTTTATATATGGCAAGTGCCAAGAACCCCATGTCATAATACAAAGCTTTTCCTTCTAGTATCTTTATTGTTTCTTGGAGTATTTGGGAACCCCTACAAGCAAAACAGACTTCAGTCCCATACAGGTCATAAAAATAAGTCAAATTCAGAGACTAAACAATATTTCTTCAACAGTAAAAAAGAAAAAAAGGTTTAAAAATATCAGTTTTGATTTCTCTGCTGGTTTTGCAGTTTAACAAGGCACTGTTAGTCCCCTCCCTCCTTCTTCACTGACTTCTTCCACCCAGGGGCCCAAGGCCATAGAACTTATAACTTCTTTACACTTAGCACAGCATTAGAATGTCACCTGCTTCTCATAGCAAGAGAATGAAGCTATTCTACCACCCAATGCCCTAGCTGCTCACATACCAGCCTGGCAAGTAGTCAGACAGACTTCTTGTAAAATCACCTTAATTCTGGTGTTATTTACTAAAAATAATTCTTAAATACTTAAAAACTAGCTAATAAAATCTGCTGGCTACCAGGCAGCCATTGCTCACGTGCTACTGGAACTCTTGTTAGAACAGAGGGTGTTAAAATCACGAGCAAGCAGCAGTGGTATTACTGGGTGGCACTACAGAAACAGGACCCCTACTTGTCTCTTGTGCTTTAGCAGCATTTTCCAGGATTTTCTTTTTCCATTCTTCATAGTCTTGCTTTGTTTCAGTCTTTGGCCGTTTACGTGGCATCTCCTCATCGTCTTCAGATCCTATGAGAGAAGGAGAAAGTCCATGACGGGCAATCATGGGCAATATGTTGCTGGGGATAACCACGGCAGCGAGCAAATATAAAGACACAAGCAGAGCGTTTGTCACTGTGTTACCTAATCCTGCGGTTTGCTGCTCCCCTCACCTGCCAGAACCTTTTCACCTTTGTGTCTGAATGCAAGAGTTGTCCTTAATTCTACTAGGAGTACTCAGTATAAACACCACTGTCCTGCAGCTAGCTCCTCTTTGTCCTTTCATTAGCCGGTGGTTTGCAGAATGGAGCAGGCTGCTGTGAACTGAGTATTATGGCCTATTACACAGCTAAAAGACTAAGCAGCACTGAAGCTCAGAACTGCTCTGGTGAGGTGATTTTAGTCCATAGCTGAACACAACTTACCATCTTCCTTCTCGCAGAGCTCCAGGTTGGTCTGCAAGCTTTCAGGTGTCTCTGCAGCCAGTGGAACATCTTCTTCTAAAAACATAAGTAAGTTGCTTTACTCCTGAGTGGTGGTTGGGGCCCTAAGGGTGGTGTTCTACGTGCAATTCTTTGACAGCAGTGCCACCTTCCAAAAGTATTGTCTCCCAGTCAGCAGTTCCCTGGTCCAGAGTGATGCCCAAGCTGTACACACAAAGGTGCCAGCACACTTCAAGGGTTGCATGGACTGGTGGGCTGCTTTAACTAGCGCTGCTGATGCATTTGTAACCGCAATGATCCACCATGTTTATACCCTAAAACCACACTGCCACCCTTCTTGATTACTCAGGCGGGATTCTCAGTTATTTCTTCCCCTTCTATCCCACTCCCACACTCTGTATTACAGATGCCCACAACACGTCGGGGGCTGCCCATGTATACGGATGCAAACTCTTCCCTGAACTGACAGAGAAACTCCCAGCTGCCTTTAGCTGCTTTAGTGGTGGGGTAAGGTTTGGGGTTTTTTTATAGGGCACTGGACTATGGGAAGGTCCATGCCTCGGGACACAGCAGCAGCTTTTGGTTTGGGTTCAGGCAGCACCTTCCACAAACCTTCATGATATGAAGCATGAAGGCAGGGTGAAGCGTGGGCACTGTCAGTGGGAAAGTAGGAATGAAAGCCTGGGAAAGCAAAAAGGAGATAAGCAGGAAGGAGCAGAGATATAAGGACAGGAAGATATGTGTTGTATTTCAATCTTCCTCCTCCACAAAGGCTTAGGCTTGTTAATCCTGTGGTGGGGGAAAGGAAAACAGAGAAGTGAATCAGTCAGAGCAAGAGAGGTAGCAAGATGTTTATGTTAATTTTTGTGTCATGTTGCCATATTAATGAGACGCAGAAAGCAAGCAAGAAGGAAGAATCCAAGATAGGTCAGGTAGTATGGGTGAAGCAGGGAATAAATTGCAGCAGCAGAGAATGGAAGGACCAGCGAGCATTTGAGAAGAGAGGAAAATATTTATTTTTGGCCTTGCCACATGCTAAGCTGTTTTGACTTCCCCAGAAGCAATTCCTGTGACTGGGAACTGGGCCGCAGGAAACATGTTGGAGTGGATGGGCAGGTTTGGCTGAAAAGGAATGGCTAAAAGTGATCAGAGTGAAATCACCAGAGGAACAGGATGGGGTACTGTCAGGCCAGATGATAGGCATGCTGCTGTACAGCGATAAAGCCAAAAAACTTACTGCTGAGTTGCTGGCTCATCTTCTCCAGCTGATTGCACAGCCGGTCAAATATTGCTTTTTTCACCCCAGACGTAGCCAACATTTTAGTTTTGTCCACTTTTAGCTTCAAACACCTGCAAGAGAAAGTTAAGTTATCTCCGTACGAAGCAACGCTCCAGCAACTATCACTCAGGTGAGGTGACATTTACTATACCAACTGCCTATGAGAATGAGGAAGGTAGGCCTGAGTTTTTATCCTATTTAATCCTTGTCTCACTCAGAAACAAACTTGCTTAAAAAACAGACCTCTACACTACTCAGTCAATACAGCTCAGAAACTGAGACCCAGGGTTAGTTCGAGTTACGTGAGGAAATTCTATTAGGTAAAGGCGCTTTTCAGATTTTGAGAGAACCAGGACAAAATCCCACTACTGCAAAAAGGTGAATGGGACCCCTGTCTCAAGAGAACATTTGTCAGGAGCTGTGCAACTACACAGCACCTGAATCGCTTCCTAAGATTGTTACAAGGCATAATACTGAGAGGGAAGATGTTTCCATGCAAGCAAATTCTTATAAAGGGTTGGCTGAGTCAGGCGCTGCTGACACCCATCTTCCAAGCCGATGCGGGCCTACAGCTATTGGATCCATCTCCCAAAGGCTTTTCCTTCTTCAGAATGGTGGCTTCTTGGTGCTCAGAAGTAAGCTAGTAGCCATTCTTCCACCTGGAGCAGTATCTCACTATCAGCCACTTTTTGCTCTGTGCCCAGCTCAAATCCATCCTGACAAGGAAAAAAAATTCCCCCTAAATCTGAAAATGTTACTCAGGAATTCTGTTACACTGGTCAGGCTGAGAGGAAGGAGGGTGAAGCGCAAAACACTAACAGAAGTTCTTCAGCCACTGCCATGGGTATGTCCTAATGGAATTACCCACATCCACTTACACACCAGGGAAGACAAATTTCATTTATTTTAGGATAAGTAACTCAAGCTCCTTTTCTGTATAGTTGATATAATACTGCTGCTCTCTCCTGAAGGCAAATGCAGTATAGGTTGGAGATTTCACTGTAGGAAAGGTCTGGTTTGCTACAGCTGTCTCCGTTTCCAGCAGGACGCACTAAGCAAGGCCCTGCTGACTATTCAGACGTGCTGAATGAATCAGCTGCTTACATGGTAAGCACTGCTTCTGTTTGGCGTCTCACTAGATGTTTAAGGCCACAGAAGATCCCTCAAGCTATACTCACCTGCACGCGGTGAATAGTGCAGCTGTTATAAAAAGCGGTTTTGAGAAATCAAGGTCCATTTGCTGTGCTTCAGAGAGGCTGGATTCATACCTGAAGAACAACAATAAGAGAGATAATTATACAGTGCATTTGCCTCAAATGAAGCTGTAGAAATGAATTTGTCATATGGTACTCAGCAGTTGGAACAGATCTCCTGTTGGATCACTTGGTCCTTTGCAACCCAGTCAAGCAGAAACAGCTGCTACTGGCTGAGAAGAGCAAGAAAGACTAGGGAAAGAAAGGAATTAGGATCACCTCCTCTCTTTGAATTAAAGATATTTTAAATTAGAGATCTGGATCTAGGCATGTCAGTAAAATTTATTTTTTGTGCTGCCCATCCACACAACACTTTTATCTCTACATTACATCTAAAAGTTACAATAAGATGTAAATCCATCTTATAAAAGAGGGTGGAATTATAGCTTCTTTGATTCTTCTAATCTATATCACACAGATGAAGGCTTAAATATAGAAAGTGATGATGGATGTGCTGCACTAAAGAATTTAATTTTTTCTTGATTACATCTAAAAGTTACAATAAGATGTTTTGCATAAATCCATCTTATAACAGAGGGTGGAATTATAGCTTCTTTGATTCTTCTAATCTATATCACACAGATGAAGGCTTAAATATAGAAAGTGATGATGGATGTGCTGCACTAAAGAATTTAATTTTTTCTTGTCCACCTGTCCCCAAGCTGTTTTTTTTTTCAGTTTGTAGCACCAGTGAGCATACACAGCCTTTGTTCACTGACCTGCCCCTCAGAATATTCTAAATCCCTAACAGCATTTAAACATACGCTAGCAGGGTGACAGCACTCCAGAACAGAACACTTTGGTGATTGTAACATGTACTTTAAGAAGAGCAGAGTGCAAAATTTTAGTTAAATCTGTTGACTCTCCATTGAAGTGTTCTACCTATTGTTTTTACAGACAGAGTACTGTGCATTGTAAGAGATCTGCTTCTCCAGAAGGGAGGACTTGTTTCTGCTGAGCATTACTTCTGAACTGTGACATGATCAGCAGTTAAATGGAACACAACGTGATGCTATGGACAGATACAGGGAGTAAGAGGCCTATACTTTTCGTACTACTCCCAGTTGAAGAACTGGGACTCAGACAATGACCTACTGAGATGCACAGACTAAGTCCTTCTGACACGTATTCTAAAAAGCGGCCTGGATAAATCGCTGGAGTGTCAGTGCTAAGAACTCACCTCACCACACCAGTCAGTGGGAGATACCTGGCCCTTCAAACCATCAAGCTCTTCACACATCTGACGAACAAAGAATCTTACTAGTGGTTACCAGTGTGCTCTTGAGAGCTTCCTCACCTCTGCAGTATTTTTGAAGCGGTGCTCACTGCCTCTGTGCAGCAGAATTGCACAGCCAAGTCTCGCATTCCCAGTCTGGGGTTCACCTCTAGCAAATATTCCAAAGACTTCATGGAGCTCTGGTAGGTCGTCTTGTTCAAACCAGAGAGTTTAACAAAATAGTTCTTCCAAGAAGACAAAGACAAACCCCAAGAATTAGCAAGATTCCTTCCCAACATCTTATTCAGGCAACCAAAACAGACGAGGGAGAAACTACGCAACATCATAAAGTTCAATTGCTATATTAAACAAATTTCTGCCATGAATGATGTTAAGTTTTGACTACACACAGAAAGATTAACCATCTAGAAATGCCACAACTTTTAACGCAGTGTTATTTTTAGACCATTTAACTGGAAACGAGGTTTGTCTTTTCCATATAATTCCTTTTATCACAAGGTGGTTAAAAACAAAGGTAACTAAGATCTGGACAACTTGAAGAGCTGAGCAATACTTTCATGCTGCTCCTCACAGGGTCAGGTCCAATTAAATCCTTCTCTGTCTGTGAATCGACAATCAAGAACATCTTGTACCAGACATTACTTTGGCAGCTCGGTGCCATTCACCCGGCAGGTCTGCAGATGGAGGTTTACAGGTACCACTCCAGAGAGGGACTTCTTGGAGCCACCGCTTCCCTTCCACAGTAAAAGGGACAGATCTTAAAATTTAAAATCCTTGCTGGCAGTTTGTTACGAAAAGAGGTAAAATTATAACAAAGCAAGCTCAGCTTGTGAAGTGACTATGACACTGATCTCAATTTGCCATCCCAAACTCTGAGTAGCGAAAGCTCTGTTCAGCAGCACACTGGGTCCGGGCTAACGGCCGTCACCACCACCCTTTTCCTGCTCCCAACGTGCACTACACACAACACCGATTTTAGCGGACTCAGGGAGAATGCACCCGCCAGCCAAGCCACATACTGTAGCTTACTTTGTCAACGGGTTGTTTCATGAAACTGGCCGCGAGGTCCAGGCACATCACCGCACTGCTCGTCGCTGTCACCTGCGCCGTGAATCCCGGGCACTTCACCTGGCACAGCCGCAGGTACTCTTCAGCTTTTCTGCGGAACACCCAGCACACGCAGCCCTCGTTAACAAAATCAGTTACCAGCCGGTAGGAACGGCAGGGAACGGGAGCCGACCCGAGGGCCCCCCAGCCCCCCCGG